TATTTGACATGAGCTCCTTTGTATAGACACTTTTATTCTGTATTATGAGAGGTTTTTTCCTGCTTAGTGTAATCTACATCATTCTTAGACTGAAATAGGAGGGTTTTATACATAGGGCTGTTATGGAAAATCATTTATTTTCTCTATGCATACAGATCTTCTACAAATAGAGGTACAGAGAGACACTATAAGCTGTCTGTGTGGAAACTTGGGAGCCTAGATTGTGGCAATGGATTGGATGATTGATTGCTGTTATTAAATACCAGCTTTACAGATAGCAATGCCTGTACTTTGTGACAAGAAGAAAGGTAACTTGTTAGAATTCTCTGCCTAAAAGGGGAAAAAATACAACAACACAGGATTTCTAATGGAGTAAAATTAAAGACAGGGAAATACTTTGTAAGTTCTAAAGTGGCTGAAGCTGTCAAAAAATAATGTGAAATTAGGACAATGGAGTAATTTTCATTAGAGAATATTTGAAATCAGTTTTCAAACTGCTAGTAGCAATAAATTGCAGTTCCCAAAGATACAGCTTGGTGGCTAAGGTATTTGAGGGATGTGATATCTTCCTACTAGTTCAAATCTTTTTTGGCTGGGTGTCAGCAGGGATTTGTACCAGAGTCTCCTATTTCTCTTTTCAATGTGCTGAGACTGCTGGAATGGTGGGGGAGGTATTCTGTTAAAAATTTCCCAGATATTGGCACTGCCTATTTTTGTATTTGAGGCACTAATGTCAATTATTTTACAGAATACTGGTTAGGAAATAATTTCTAATTCAGTTTCCCACTAATATCTGTTCATAACGCTATGGAAGACAATACTGGATTAAAAGACCTAGTGCTAAGTACACTGTAATGTGGTGGCAAAGAAACTTACAGAAAAGTTTAGATTCGTTACCATAGGAAAAATAATGAGTTGAAGCCTGCCTCATGCATTAGTAGCCAGTACTCTTAAGTACTGGATTTTGAATGAGATATGTCACAAAAGTGACTCAAGGCATTTTACAGATGTAGAAGAAACAAGACCCAAAGGCAAACGTTCAAAATTTTTACTGAAGTTTAGCCACGACCACAGGACCGCTGCTCCATCAGGAAATGAGAGGCAGCGCCCTCAACCTGCAGTGGCTCCCACCCCCCAGCCACACGCGGCGCACACACCTGGTCCCACTCCTGCTCAGCCCCAACCCACAGACCCAGACCGTCTGCCCTGGGCCACGCACAGCGCAGCTCCCGGCGTGGGGCGGGTGCAGCCCTGGGCAGCTCCGGCCCTGTCTGTGCTCCTGCACACCTTGCTCTTCTGCAGAGCTGAATTTTTCTCAGAACAGTACTGCAGGTGTTTTGTTGAATGAGCAGCGTGTTGTTCTCTGTATATCCTGTGAAAGTGCTCAGGCGTGAGGTTACAGCTCTGGTGATGACAAAGTCAGTGTCCGTCTCCTAGAACAAACAGCACTTCACTTGCTGAGCAGGGCAGAACAGTTAGCCCTTTCCCTGCAGTCCCCTCTATTTCTTGTAGCCATCCAGGCCTATACTTTCTTGGAAAACAAATTCTTGATCTGTTGTGCATTTGCTATCTAGCTGCTGCTGCAGGTCTAGAGGTCACAAAATCTCTTTGTTTCTGCAAGTTTCCTGTAGCATAGCAGATATCAAACGTGTATTTCAGGTCCAAAGAGATGTGAACTTTCATTCCTTATGCTTCCCTGCAGGCTTCTGTCAGGGCTATCAGCTCAGCTGATAGTAGCTCAAGTAGTTGATTTGATAGAAATAGACTGTTATTACTATCTAATTCTGAGTCACAGTGTAACTCTGTAACTCACTTTCTTTCCTGATCCAAAGATGTTCCATCTACAGAAGTCAAGTCTGGAGCTGGCAGAGAAGAGAGAGGCTCTATCAAGAAGTACAGTGGCAGAACAAAGAGTAATGGCTTTAAATTAAAAGAGGGTAGATTTAGGTTAGACAATAAGAGGAAATTCTTAATTCAAGTAGTGAAGCACAGGAGCAGGTCACCAAGAGAAGTTGTGAGTACTTCATCCCTGGAAGTGTTCAACACTAAGCTGGATGGATCTTTGAGCAGCTTGATTTCATGGAAGGTGCCTGTGTGTGTTCATAGCAAGAGTTTTGATATTAATGATCTTTAAGGTCCCTTTCAACCAAAACCATTTTGTGATTCTTTACCTATAAGGTCTGCTTTTATCTTTTCTTGGTCTTGTGTGATCTCTCTGCAGTCATGATGTAATGGTAACAAGGCAGCTGTGATCAAGGCGCTGCATTTTCTCCAGAGGATTTTCTCCTCTCTGCAACAACAGCAATAGGTACTTCTGGAGACAGAAAAGTCAAAACCTGTGATAATTCATTTAGTTAACTCAGTTCAACATTATGTGGGTTATTTACAATCAGTGGATGTCCTAATGCAATCTTCTGATGTTCTTCTACCATTAATGCTGCTGAGGCTATCATTCTAATACATCTCTCTTTGTTTTTTGTAACTGGGAGCTTGAGGGCTGAATGATAAGTAGCTGGGTGCTTCTGCAAAGTTTGTGCAAAGACCCCACAGGCAGTAGCCTTTCAGAGAAAAGTAAATGGAATGGTTTATGGTAATTTGATACCACAAATGTGGGTGCTGTCACCAAAACTTTCAACATTACAAATGCTTTCTCCCATGTCCAAAGGCCATTTCAGTGGCTCGTCGGTGTCTGTTTTTGACAAAGCCACCAGTACTGCAGCTGTTTCTCTAAAGGCGTTTGCTGAAGTTTGCATAACTACAACTCTTAAAAATGTTCCACACTGTTTCTTTGTTACAGGCTGAAGCATATTCTGAATGGTATTCATTCACTTATTAGGTATTTTCCTGCCTTTTTCAGGTAACACATATCCTGTATATTTCACTTTGTCCTTATAAAAGTGTAATTTAGCTGGGGAAGCTCAGCAGTCCTTTTCAACAGAAGGGCACAGTAAAAAGTCTTTGTATTTTTTCAGATTTGTTTTACCTGTGATTTGAACCAGCAATTAGCAAATGATCAGCATATTGATTGCACATGATTATTTAGTAATTCAATATGCTACCAGTGTAAGGTCTTTGGAAATACTGGAGATGATCCTACAAATGCTGGTTCATGTCTTTTTTTTGCTCCTCCCAAGACAAGGGAATTATACGTTAAAATCATCTTGCAATGAAATACTAAAAGAAGCTGCATGGAAATAAATTACAGAAAAATATCTTACAGTTTTCATTATCAATGTTTTCTAGTTATTGATCATGGACTACTGAGAGAGATATTACTCCCCATTTGTTAATTGTTTTTAGGTGTTAGACAAATCTTGAAAACTGTCTTTCTCTCTGGGCCAAGATTTGGCTTCTTTGTGGTAATAATGGTGTGTTACAAGGAGTGAAAATTCCCACCTTCAAAAACTCAGTCATTGGCCATGTTTTCCCCTTCAGCTCTTGTGACAGTGGGTATTCCTTTAAGAAGAGAGATTTCCCCTGCTTTCATTTCCAGTGTAAATGGGGTTGCTGACTTTAATAGTTCCTCATTTTTTGAACACCATACCCACGAAGATGTCAGTATGTCTTTTATCTCCTGAGGGATTTTGTTTATTTTCTTCTGATCTACAACCATCATTACTTTTGAATCTATTGCAAGTTTTTGAGTTATTCTTTCAGGGATACATACCAGTCCTGCTCACAGTTTACACAGGAAGTCCAACTGTAATAAATTTGCAGGTGATAATTTTCATTTAAAGTGATTATGTGCTGATAGTAGACTGTCTGTTTGTAGCATCACTTCTACCTGTGAAACATATCTCTGCTTTCCTTATATACCTACTACATTTACATTTCCTTTATCTTTGAGCTCACTAGGAAATTGGTTAGGGTGGAGTTAGTTGTCCCAGTATCAACTAAACTGTGTATAAACCTTATTTCAAATGTTTAATATTTGTTCCCAGGATCTTCCTGGAACGTGTATTCCTGTGTTTGTTTCCTCTGCTGGAGGCTGGGGACCTGGAAGTTGTGCACAACTTCATCTTGTTCCCTGCCCTATTGGGCTTCCCTAAACTGTGGTCTCGGTCCCCTTCTCAGGGTAACTGGACATTCTCCTCTCCAGTGCTGTGATTGCTTGCAATGACTGCAACAGTTCTCTGGTCTTAACTGATCTCTGCTTTTCTGATTTCTGTTGCTTCTTTGCCTCCCCTAGTAAGGCTGCTGCTAGAAAGCTTGCCTTTTCCTTCTGATTCCTTTTTTGACTAGCTTTGTCCTCATCGCTTTCATTATATACAAATGTTTCTGTGTTCATTAGTTCTCTGATTGATTTACATTGTCATCCTGGGAAATGTTTAGTAAAAGATTTCTTGATGTTGGGGCTGCTTGATCGACAAACAGTGAGGGTGTATTTTGTCTGCTTAGGTTCTATTCCTGTATCCGCAGCTGTTTTTCCAACCTTGTTAGAAAAGCCAAGGGGTGTTCCTCTAACTCTTGATGACAATCTGTTAACTTTGTTCAATTTAGCACTCTTTATCTTGCTGCTACTGTTGCAGACCCTAACACATTTCTGCATGTTCTAAGCATATCCACCCCTGCCTGTGTCTCAATTTCAACCTGATTCTTGTTCTGGCCTCACTGTTCAGTCATCTTGGGCTGCAATCTGGTCTCTGTTCTACAAAATTAAGATTATTTCATTTGTAGTAAACATAGTGTCTAACGACTGACAAATGTCCATCCATGTCAGACCGTATGCTCTAAATATACTTCTAATCATCTGTAATATTTTTTCAGGGTCCTCCTGTAACCGTGGCATTTGCTGTTGTCATGCCACAGAGCCTGGTGGACTAAAAGGCACAAGCACCCTGTGCACTGCTACCACAGCCCTGGTTTGGGCAGAGGGCAGACTACCTCCTTTAACAAACTTTAACGGAGCTCTGCAATGTGATAAGCAGCCAGGGGTGCAGAAGGGGGGAGGAAAAAGAATCCAGAGGCAATAGCAGCACAGCAGAAGTGCTGTCAGCTTTAGCAGCAATTGGTGGAAGTCCCCTAGATGGAAGGACATAAGGTGACATCATTTTCACGTTTCCATTTGACTTAAATAGACCTGTTTGGTTCAGCAGCTCTGTCACAAAATTGGCTTGGGACAGTCTGCAAATATGGAAGAAACAAGACCCAAAGGCAAACGTTCAAAATTTTTACTGAAGTTTAGCCACGACCACAGGACCGCTGCTCCATCAGGAAATGAGAGGCAGCGCCCTCAACCTGCAGTGGCTCCCACCCCCCAGCCACACGCGGCGCACACACCTGGTCCCACTCCTGCTCAGCCCCAACCCACAGACCCAGACCGTCTGCCCTGGGCCACGCACAGCGCAGCTCCCGGCGTGGGGCGGGTGCAGCCCTGGGCAGCTCCGGCCCTGTCTGTGCTCCTGCACACCTTGCTCTTCTGCAGAGCTGAATTTTTCTCAGAACAGTACTGCAGGTGTTTTGTTGAATGAGCAGCGTGTTGTTCTCTGTATATCCTGTGAAAGTGCTCAGGCCTGAGATTACAGCTCTGGTGGTGACAGTCAGTTTCCGACTTCTAGGACTGATAGCTCATTCCTTGCTGAGCAGGGTAGTTCTGCCTTATCTTGCAGATAGCCTCTGTATCCTTTTATGAGAAATGACTGAAAAGTGTCATTTTAGCCTGACCCACTAGTCAAGCCTGACAGAGGAAGGGTATTTTTGGCAACAAAACAAAACAAAAAAATGTACCTCTGCACTCTTTGTAGATATTCAAATATAAGAAGGTAAATGTTATCAAGAAAGATCAGACTAACTCAGTGTTTTGGTTGTATTTTGGTGGGGTTTTGTTTTGTTTGGATATGTTACTTTTTAATAATACAATTTGTTTTGATACCACTGGATTATGTCTAGAGTGCATCTGAAGCTTGGATAGAAACAGAAATCAAATTTTGGCTTCAGTGTTTGCGCCAATCTCCTGTCTTTGGTGAGCTTCTGTCTTGTTAATGTATGTAGATGTGGTGTTTCAAGTTTATTTCTGGTGCTTTCCACTGATTGAGTGGGATGAAGAAGGCCATCATATGTTTTGATGGGTAACTTTTATTCCTGTGACTATGTTTTAACACTGATTCTGAGTTTCTCTCTGGAGGGAAGGAAGCAGGTCCTAGGAAACAAAACAGAAAAATTAACGGAAAGAAGCATTTTTCTCACTTTTTCAAGAATATTCTTTGTTTTCAATCGGTGTTTTTTTCTTCACTTTGTTAACTTATTTTCTTCTTGCCTGCTTCCTCATAGAACTGAAAGGATTAGAAATGGGTAAGAGTAACTTCATGGTGATGATCACAGAAAGAAAGTATCCAGCAGGTCTTTGCTTTGATACCTATATTGACCGAATAGTTCCCAGCGGCAAAAGATCCTCTACAAGACCTAAGGAGGAACCTACTCTTGAGGGCAAACATATAAAGCTTTCAGATGACTCCTCTGATTGCAGCTCCCATTTCTAGTTTGAGTTTTAGGCTTTTTTTCTCTCTTTTCTACAGCAGAAAGACATGGAATTAATTCTGGTCATGTTCTTGTGTCAGTTTTTCTTAGTTACAGACCCACAGCCTGCTTCTCGGTTTTTCCTGTTGTCTCTCAGCCTTCCTTTGTAGTCTCTTCCCTTGTTTTTCATGTTTAATCTGATTTTTGTCTAGTGCATTTGGGTTTCCTGATCAAATTAGAACGATGTAATCCTTGTGTCATACATTCTGAACAGTAACTTTTGAAACTGTAATCAATTTCACCCAAATTTGACAGTGAGCTCAATGTTTCAAAGATTCTGAAACCTTCCTAGTAAGGCAGCAGTTTGGGGAATGAGACTGAAATGAGCATTTTGTTGGTTTGTTGGACCTCATCTTTTGTTTGCGTTAGTTGTGTAAGCATCACTATAAGCTGCACGTATGTTGTGAACCACAAGCATAGTTTTTAACGGCCTGAGTCTTTGCTTGAGACCTTTCTGTCCCAGAGGGAAACTAATGGGAATTCTCACGGATTACAAAAATCTCCAATAAACTGTTGTGCCCATCCTTTCCTAGTAACTGGTGGCAAGCCTTTACTCTCCCATTTTAGTAACTCTGATTTGTAGGCATCTCGGTCTGATAAGCTCCCAAGAGGTGTGCTGCTTTAGCAATTGTTCTTTCTAACAGCCTTGTGGCAACTGTGCCAATTTTTTAAGCAGAAGATACTTAGAAACATGTTTGGCTTCTGTCTTTGTTGCTGTTGTTCTAAAATTTATTTGTGTGCTTTGCAATGACTTTGTTCTCTTGCATGCTATGCTGCATATTTTTCTGCTGTTTAGCTTTTCCTGATTCTTATTCCAATGTGCATGCATTCATGATTGATTGAATACTGCCCTCATTATCCAGATATGGAGATGCTGTAAGTACACTTATGACAGCCTGCTTTGCTGTTTTGATAGACTGTGCTAGGGGTGCTAGTTTAGGCTACTGCAAGGGTGGTGGCTGACTGTAATAGGAAGAAAGCTTGTCCAAGACACAGCATCTGAGACTGGACAGCTGATTGTAATTTAAATACTGTTTTAATGAAAGTTTTGGGGTGGCAAGACAAGGAGTTTCGCAGCAAATTACCTGGGATATACAGCAGTCAGAAATATTCCATCCTCTGTGCCTCTGGGCAGTTACCACTATGCTGTGTGCCAGCAGCGCTCATACCCAGTGTTGTGCTAAGTGAGTTTCCGTTTCTAGTTTTCCGTTAGACAAGCAGGATGCTTACAAACACGATGTCTGAAAATAAGATTGTACAAGCTGAGGAATTGTTTTTCGTTTTCATGTTTTAGACCACATTCAAGTCATGTGTGTTTGTATTTTGGCCATTAGCAATAGCGATATGTACGGATGTTAATACATATATAAATTGCTAATTTTGACCTCAGATCTCCGCTGATTTTGAGGCTAACGATAAGATGTACTTCGTATTCAAAGGGTTCGCTTCGTGTCTCCCTCCCCCGTTCCTGCCTGGTTGGCCCTACTCCCTCTTCGCACGTCTAACTGCGAACGTAGCCGGCGCGAAACCAAGTCACGTAGCAGAAAGCAGATGGCGGGCAGGTACCCCGTCCCTCGCTGCCAGCTCCGCTTTCTCGCCTCGCCTCTCCTTCCTCCGTGGGCGGCCGCCTCCCGGCCCGCCGCCAGCCGCGGCTGTCCTGTGGGGCCGGGCTCCGCCATCCCGCGCGCCACGAGGCTGCCGGGGCTCTCCCTCCTCGCCGTGCAGGGCTTGGGGCCCCGACGCGGTGCCGGCCGGGACTGAGGCGGGCCGTGTTTTTTCGCCGGCAGGCTCCTGGCGGCGTGGGACGCACAGGGGGAAGGCTGACGGCGGCGCCGGCGGGCCCGAGGCAGCCCGGGCGGGCGGAGGCGAGCCCGGCACTAGGACCCAGAAGACGCGCGGAGGCTCTGGCAAGATTACAAATTGGTCGTGACTCAGTCTGTCGGCGGGTGGCGAAGGGAGCAGGTCGGTGCCGTCCGCCCGCCCGTTGCGGGGCCGCGCTGGGGCTCAGGGCTGGCGGGGCGGTTGGTGGCCGCGAGGGCGGTTGGCGCTCCGCACGACGCCCTGCCTCCGTTCTCGTCTGCCTGTCCGACCGTCCGTCCTCCCGCCCGCCCTTCCTTCCCCTCCCCTTCCCTCCCTCCCTTCCTCCCGCGGCCTGGCCCCGCTGCGCCGCTCACCGCGGCCGCCTGTTGTCTGCTGTTTTCCAGGCAGCCAAGATGGAGTACGAGTGGAAGCCCGACGAGCAGGGGCTCCAGCAGATCCTGCAGCTGCTGAAGGAATCGCAGTCCCCGGACACCACCACGCAGAGAGCCGTGCAACAAGTATCCTTGGCCGGGGCCTGCGCCGGGCGGGGCGGGCGGGGCAGAGCGGTGCAGGGCAGGGCAGAGCAGAGCGGGACGGCAGCCGCGGCCCGGGCGGGTGCCGGGGGAGCCGGGCGGGGAGCGCGGCCCGGGGGGCGGACGGGAGGGACGGGACGGGACGAGGCGGCGGCCGGGCCTGTCCTGCCCTGCCCGGGGTCCGCCGCGATGCGGTGGGCCGAGCCTCCGCTGAAGCGGGCGGCCGTGGCGCGGCGTTTGAACCGCCGGAGCGGCCTGCGGGGCCGTAGGGCCGCCGGGCACCTGTTGCGAGCCTGAAGCCAAGGGCCGCTTCTGCTTTTTAAAGCCCTCGCTCTGGCGCGACCGCTTCGGCGTCAGCCGCTTTACTGGGTTACCCCGCGCTGGGCCGCTGCCAGCGCCGGGCCGCGCCGAGGCGGGCGCGCGGCCCTCGCTGCGGCGGATCCCGCCAAGAGCACCCGGTGCCGCGCCGCCTCCCGCGTAGGGCTACCCGCCGGCTCCGAAGCGCGGCGGGGCCTCCCGAGCCCGTCCCCCGCCGGGGCTCGAGGCGAAAGCCGGCGCTATGGGCGGGAGGGCCCCCACCGGAACCGTCGGCGGCGTGCTCTGGGCGGCCTGCCGCCTCTGACGCTACGCACTTTGCTGCGGGTGGGGACGTTCCTGCCTGCCGGCAGCCTGAGCCGTCGTCGTTAGACTGTGAAATTGGCGAGAAGGAGTGATTGTCTGTCTGCTTCTTCTTGGGCCAATTCGCAGCGCATTTTCTGTTAGTTGTTTGTGGTGGAATTTGTTTCTGATTCTTTTTTTCTGCCCGTCAAGTCCCTTGGTTCTAGAAATGATGAAATGGCACGGTTTTAAGGAACAAAGAAGAAAATTTAAGCGACGACTTTAATAGAAACGTGGCTCTTGAAAAATATCTGTTGTTTCCTGAGTTGGTTGTGTAAGTGCTTTGGAAAGGGAGTCCTACTGGCATTCTCTGAAGGATATGAGTTCATTATCGCGATCTCTTTTTGCTTAAGGCATGTGCTTCAAGGTCTTTGCATACTGCATCAGAATTCGTTAATGTAGGTAAGAAGAGATGTACATAAGGTTATTTTTTAAAATGAGTCTATCCTGAGGCCAAATTTACTCAACCCATAGGCTTTGCTAACAGATGCAGTCAGATGTGGCACAGCTTCTGTTATTGTTTAAAAAGTGAAGTTATTTTTCATCTTGATCATCATGCTCTTTGAGCTGTGTTGTAGATTTTTGAGATGCTTTTGCTGCCTTTGGAAAATCCTACACAGTGGGCTAAATAATGCGTCAAACTCAAACAGGAATTCTTATTTCTTATTAGATATAAAATTGTTTTTAGCAACAGTAGTTTTAATACAAAATATTTCTTTAAAGCTCTGCTTCAAAAAAAAAAAAAAGAAAAAGAAAAAGAAAAAAAGGGTGATTACTTCTGCTTTGTTTTTTTGAAAAATAGCAGTGTAGGTGTAGGATGGGCAATGTAGTGAATGTTGTCTGAATGATGTGCAGAAGTTAAGTAAAAATGCCTCTAACTGATGTTTGAAATGATAGCATGCTGTGGTCAAATACCTGTGATGTCAGAAAGTTCTTCCTATGCTGGCTTGTAAAAGTTAGAGAAGTGGTACACTATGTCATCATGTTACACATCCATTTAGGAAAAATTTTGATGTCTTATTCACAGACAGCAAACTGTAACTTTAAGTAAATCTGCTTTGAAACTGTTTTCACAAATCTCTGGGATGGTTTCTTGTATTATAGGATGCTGCTTAGCAGCATGTCGAAGCAGGATGGTGGATCAGAAGATTCAAATTTAAAGAACTTTCAGTCATTAATATAAGATTATCAGTGTGCTGTCTTGTATCTTATGACACAGTTTTGACACATTTATGTTATTAGAAACTAATTGTAATGAAGTGGGGAGCATAGGTTAACCAAAATCCTTTGGTATTGAAATCCTAATAAAGTTATGAATCAGAAAGTCTTTCAGATGTTTTTGAGATGAAGAAATTAATTGCTTTTTGAAGGGGAAAAAAAGGGAAAGTGTAGCTAAAGAAGTTGTTGAGGAAAATATAGCCTATTAGCTCTTACTTAGTTCATTGATTGATTAGTTAAATTCCTATTTAATACTCCTAGTTCTTTCTGTGTTTGCTGCTGCTTTGTATTTGAGCTGCTGCAATTTATTGCTGTTGGTGTTGTTTGACATACTGTTTTGGTGGTCATGTTTTTGAAGCTTGGTGTAGAAAGGAAAAAAAATTACCCTACTTTTTTGCTTCTTAAAGAGCTTCTTGGCATGGAAGCTAAAAAACAACCTTTGGGTGTGTGTTTTATATTTCTTAGGGGCCATGTGAGATCATCAGTACTGTTTTCACTTGGCTATCTATAGTAGGCGTGCTTTACTCTTTAAGTCAGACAGGCTTCTCTGACCATTGCTTGATGTAAGCAGCCTAAATATCTAAAAATGAAATTTCCTAAGTTTGCGATTCGGACTAGGTGAACTGGTAGGTCACTGGAAGGAAGTAGTTTCTTTAGAACTGGAAGGAACTTAATGGGTCATCATATCCCAGTGAATGCATGTGGTCAAGGTTTTACTTTTAATGCTTAGCAATTTGTCTAAACAGTTAGTAAAGTCAGTGCATGTGAAGTAAATACTCTTCTTTGAAAAACATTTTTTTGCTAAATGTCTTGTTTAACCCTTCTAGATATCATCAGTATGACTTAAAGATGATGCTGCATGCTTATGACTCAAAATACCAATTAATAACAGAGTATGAGAACGGGTTATAAAGAGAATGCCAGATGACTGTTCCAGCCAAACAGCAGCAGATGATATAGTAAATGTTAATAAGAAGCTCATTCAGAAAGCCAGCAGTCTAGAAAATGGATATGTATGCAAAGGAAATGTTCTGTATTACTTGTTTTAAGAAACAGTAGATAAGTTTCTGATGCAAATTATCTTCTCACTTAAAATTATACTAATTCTCACTATCAAAATCATAAATCGCTGTTATGCTTTAATGCTGGAGAGCTTTTATTTATGATGGCGAAAAAAAAAAAGATGTGTTGTGAGATTCTGTCTCAGCTTCTGAGTGTAAACATTGAAATTAAAAACTATACAGAAGCAGCATTTTTAGTGTTTTTAAAAGCACTTTAAGGATTCTATTAATTTCTCTGTCTTTGGATAATTTTTTTTTTTCTGTACTTCGCAACTAAAAGGTATTCCCTAAAGTACAAGGACTGCAGACTTGGTTTTCAGTTTGTTTTTACTCTGAGTATTTTAAGCTTTTACAATTGTACAATTGTTTGAAGTGTTTGGAAATTTAATAATAATTTCATCCAGAAGGCTAAATGCTGCATGTGCAAGATTCAACTTCTCCTTAACAGTTTCTCACTTCAGAAACTAGAACAACTCAATCAGTATCCAGATTTCAACAACTACCTGATTTTTGTTCTTACGAAGTTGAAGTCTGAAGGTGAGTTTTGAAGATATTAACTCTTTGATTACACTTTTATTTTTCACCTGTTTGATTTTTTTTTTTCTTTACCTTTAAAGTAATTGAAAGCTGAATCCTGCAGTAATTCTGTTGATTTGTTGACCTCTGTAGTTATTGAGAACTCATTTAACTTTTGGGAGGATTTGTGGTAACGCATTTGAAAGCGTAGTTTCAAAATCTTAGTATAGATTCTGCTCTAAGTATCCTATGAAATTTTTACAGTACAACAGAAGCATCATACTTCTCTGAGGCTGCTGTGAAACTGGAATAGATTTGATCTGTGGTGGTGAAATGTGACTGGGGATGTTATTAAATATTCTGATAAATCCAGTTATAATCATAATTGCACCAGTAATTAGCCTGGTGAACTTTTTAATGGTCACATGCCAGAATCATACAGAGAGAGTGTCAGAATCTTCATCTTAATTCGTCTTAATTTTAGTAAAATGCAGTTAGAAATCACTCACAGTTTACCACTGGTTTATTCTGCACTCTGTAGCCTCTACAAATGTGTAAATTCAGGCAATTCTGTAGTAATGAGCAGAACGTGAAGGATTTTTATTTCAGAGTTCTACAGTGGCTGATTTGTGAGATCTTTGCCAGTGAAAGAGAGATATTTCAGGATCTATTTTGGCACATCTGGTTCTTGTATGTTTGTCATTAATATGTTGGATTGTTTGTGATTTTTTTTTTTTCCTCAGTGTCTTGCTACTAATACTTTTTCTGATTTCTGTTGTTCCACCTCTTGGCTTTAGAGTGCCTTCTTTTTTTCAGTTTGAAGTAGATCTTTCTTATAAGTAGCCCTGTAACGTTCAAAGCATCAGCAAGATTCTTTATTTTTTGTTTGAAGTAGTGTTTTGTTTGTGTTTTCTGCATATCTAGGAAGGATGGAAGGATAGCAGAGTATAATGTTTTTGTTTTTAAGACTGGGATATGTCACAGTGGTTTTGGATCTTCTATGTAGTAAGTTTCCTAATAATATTTAAGGTCTTGGGGGAATCTTTGAAATCTGAGAGTATTTTCAAGACCTGAATCAGCTGAGATAATAAATTACTGAGCAAGATGATAGTGTAGATAGAGAATATCCTATATAGATAGAGAATATGCTTTAATATTGATTAATATGGTATCATACTTCAATTGCTAGTGTGATTTACACTATTAACAGGAGAAAAAAAAAAAAAGGTGTTTGGTCAGACTGCACCCATACCTCACAGGTACATTATGTAGGTCTTTTATGAGACTGCAGAGAAGTAATTCTTGCTTCAGGGAAGATTTTCTCCTTCATCAGTGACTGAATTTTCAGAGTCATACTGTTGTCTAAGACAGCTGTTCTTCAACTTTGTGTTTCAAGATCAGAAAGTCTTCAGAACAGGTGGGGCCTGGTCCTGATTAACCTGCTGCAGATGTCCCTGCTCAAGCAGGGGCTCAAGCAAGACGTTTGACCTCCAAAAGTCCCTTCAAATCTCAACCATTTTGTGATACTGTGTCATAGTGAGTCCAGTATTGCTGTTTTCCCATAGTATTTACCAACTTCTAAATATCCTGTTACTTTGCTATGTAGGACTAGTGAAGGACAGTGGGGAATTCTTGGGTGGATTTGCTATGAATCCGATGACCAAGAGCCTTCTGTCCGTATTCCTGCACAAGCAAGGTAAAGAAAGGGACCTCTAGAACTGCTATAAAGCAGTTAAAATACTCTTGCATCCTCTTTGGAACTGTAGGGGAAACGTGATGGAGTCTATCTTGAGTACAACTGGGGAAGTTTTTTTTTTTTTTTTTTTTTTTTTAAGAGGATTCTCTTGGCAGTCAAGGTTCTTGACTAGGGAAGACAAGCACTGTGCTTCACACCACAGACAGAAGCTGAGATACCCAATGAACCCTACCCTACTGTTGGAAGCTTCTCTGTGGCTGTGGGTCATGAAAATAAGCTTCCTGCATTGTTCATAGTTTATTCAATGGGGATTGAAGTGTTACATTTACTAGTACATGGGGCAAAAGAGAGCTTAGTTTGACAACAGGTGTGGCTATCCATAGATAACATTTTTGCCACTGTTGAAACTGCTGAGGAAACTATGTAAAGATTACCTTTAGATGGAAGCTCCTGGAAGTTAAAATTCAGTAAGGGGGGACTGAAATGCATTTTAAACACCCTTATTTTATTTTAGTATGGGTTGTACCATAGTATGGGTTGTTTTTAGCCTGAGTCTTATGTCTCTGCAAGCAAATAACTTTGCTTGCTTAGGTGGCCTCTCCTAAGGCCTGTAGTCAGGCAGTAGGCAAGCTCATGGAATAAAACATGATCCCAAAACGTTGAAGGCTGGGATATCTCTAGAAGATACTTACGAAGAAGCATTGTGCTCAGAGGTCATCCTTATTTGGGCTAAATGGAATATACATTATCATTCGGATACTCGTAGCTGTACGTAGATACTTGTAGATTACTGTAGCTGTTTCTTCTTAGTTTCACAAGTGTAAAACTGGCAGATAAATGTAGTGGCACTACACTGGCTCGGTGTCTTTCTTACTGGGACTACTGGCTGATGACAGTCATAATTGTGGCATGATATTTTTTTATGCAATGTTGTATCAACATACTCTGAGATGACACAGCCTCCTTGCATCAGCAAAAAAATTACTATGTTGCTTCCTGGTTAACTGTTCTCTGTTCAGCTTTGAAGAGAAACTGGACCAAGACTTAATAGTATCTGTGGACTATTCCTACTCAGTTTATGCTTACATCCATTACTGTAAAGACCTTTAAATAAGGTCTTTACAGTACACCTCAGATAGCAAGAAAGGAAGGTATCTTTATAATATGACAGAATTCATGTGATATTCTACATGGCTTAATGCAGCTTAAAAGATGCTGGGTGTTTTATAAAAAAAAAATTGCAAGAACAGAAGTGTTGTCAATACTTACCACTGCCTACGTAAGATACGACAGACCTAATACCCCTTTATCTTGGGCAAAAAGGCCACAGATATTAGTGCTGTTCTAGTTAAGACAGACAAACAGATCCTTTGTCACATTTGCTTTTTTTTAAAGATAAAACATGAAAGATAGAGTATGTTGTTTATGAATACTTTCTGTAAAGCCTTGATTCCTTCTACCTTTAAGTGTGCTGCTGGACTTTTTTTGCCATAATCTAGGGTAATGTATAGTGAGACAAATAAGCAATGGTCCAGATAATTTTCTGCTGGCTTGTGTGGACATTGTGTAGCTGCAACAAGACAGATAACTAAGTCTTTTGATTCTGATCTTGGATCATGTTTTGATGACCCACACCTCAGCCCGTACTGTTGTGGGAACTCCAGTCCGTGGTCTCACTAGTCTAACTCGGTAGACAGATCGTAGACTTGTGTGAAGCTGTTGCACTCAAGGATCACAGTCCTTGAAACACATTTATATTCTAGAGGAGAATGAGTAGAGATTGAGAACAGTGCTTGAGTACTGTACTATCTTTCTGGTAGTCTTTAAGAGTGGTTTCTAAAAGTGGTCTCTAAAATCAAATTTTGATCTTCGATTGCTTTATAAAGCAATGTCTCTACTACTCTTGATATTTTCATGTGATGACTTAGAGTATTTTACTTTGACACAGTTTTCCCATGGAACTTGGTATTTTTGTTCCATTCCTTCCACCTCCTCTCAACCCCTGCACCGTGCAAAAGCTTTTGTTTCATTTGAAAATTCAGCACACATAACTTTTATAATAACTCAGTCGTGTCTGCGAGTGGATTTTGAAATGGCCTTTTATAAACTATTACTAGGATCCAGAGTGGCCCTATGGATTTGATATGACTATTTTCTGGTAAGTTTTGAAATTTAAATTTGATCTGGGCTGTGGTTTTCATAAGACCTTTCCACTATGGAATACTTCTTTAATGGTATGTTGATGTGGAAAGACGTTTGAAGCTAAGCAAGAGAAAGACTGTGTGAGAATCACACTGTGTGATTAACCAACTTGGCTTTTCAGAAATGTGTTTTTAATGAGCAGGATTAAACCAGAAAAAAGTTCACAAGCTTTGGCTATGAAATTGAAACTATCTCCTCACCCCCTTCATCCCCTTTTCCCCCCCCACCCCTCTTTACAAAATACGTAATCTAGTCATTATCAAAAAGACTAAAATAGCTGCCAAGGAGTGAATCTGATATCTGATGGGATTATAGTTCAGAAGTAAAGTAAGGTTAATGCACCCTTTAAAAGGTACAGCTTGAAATGTTACATACATAGCATGGATGGCGTTCTTCTAGTGAGACAATAGCAAAATATTTTTTCCTTCAACTCTGCTACATTAAAAATAAAATTAAACCTAACTCAGTGTTAGTAGTCAATGCAAGAAGTAATTCAGATTCATAGACTTAAGGGAAACCAAGTTCTGAGATTATTGATTTTGTCAAATCATACCATTAAATCGGTATGTTTGATTTTTTTTTTTTTTTTTGTTTTTTTTTCCCCCCAGTATGGCAGCCAATTCTTCTGTTCCATCCCCTCATAGGGATGTTGTAAAGCAGACTTCAGTAAAATTCTTTGCTTAAGTAGTTTCATGGCATACATGCTACATGTGGGCAGAGACAGTTATTTATTTTCTCTTTTAAGAGTCTTTAAAGAAACATTGAAATTATCCAGTGGATTGCGTTTTGTGATTCAGTACTTCAGGAATGCTTTCTTGGAAGTCTTTATTCTGAGAGTATGGGATCTCCATTATTATCTCTTTACCTATTCCTGAAGCCCATAGGAGGAAAGCAGTCTGAAAGAATAGGTACAGTAGTTCTCTAGCTTAGTACCTTCATTTACTTATTTAGGTTAATGTAGGTTCTTCAAAGGTGCTATTCACTGTAAGTAAGATCATCTGAGGAGTGAAATCTTACAATATCTGTGTTGTCTGAAGTGACAGGTCAGAATTTTTCAGGCTTTCCCTTGGTTATTAGGGTTATCAGACTTTTAAAATCATTCTTTTGAAATTCAGGTAACATT